CAAAGCTGCTTTAAATTGAATTAAATTAAGAGAAGGAGAGAAGGAAAGATGACTGGAGTGCTTTTAACTTCCCTCCCCTCTCTGTCTCTCTTTCCTTTGGAGAGGATGAGAGGGGAAAAGACAAGAGTCTGCAGCAATTGCCTGACTCTAAGTGTACGTGCGAGTGTGTGTGTGTGTGTGTGTGTGTGTGTGTGTGTGTGTGTGTGTGTGTGTGTGTGTGTGTGTGTGCGATGATCATCCAACAACAAACCTGAGACCTTTCCGTTTCTTTCTTCTGTACCTCACATTTATTCTTCTCTTCTGGTCTCCCCTTCTCAGTCATATTTTCCCCCAACACACACACACACACACACACACACACACACACACACACAAATACACACACACACACACACACACACACACACACACACACACACACACACACACACACACACACACACACACACACACACACACACACACACACACACACACACACCTCAACACTCACAGCCTCCACTGTAGCCACTCTGCAGGGTCAGAGAGAGTAAGTGTCGTGAAATGCATGTAAGCCTCCTGGGACCCCCCCCTCTTTCTTTCTTTCTGCTGTTAAGACACGGAAACTACAGTAACCACGACAACTCCAGGCACAATTACTACCTACTCTGTGTGTCTGTGTATCTGTGTGCATGCATGCGTGCGTGCGTGTGTGTGCGTGTGTGTGTGTGTGAGAGAGTGAGAGCAGTGACTTTGACTTTGAGTTTCACAGAGACGTGTCCTGGCTTTGTTAACACACACACAGCATTACCCTTCTTTAAATGGCCGCTATAATAACCAGCTTTCGGGTCAGATGTAGTGTATCTGGTGTAATTGGAACAGAGTGACCTGTGTAAGCTAATGCCACGATTACAAATAATCCAGTTAAAGCCTGTCGACACATTCTGTGTGCCCGATGTAATGAATGTTTTAACCTAGGATATAATGAGAGTCAAGGTTTAATAATAATAATATGTCCTGCTTTATTAGAAATTAAACGTTTTATTTCACAAACCTTTTGTCTGGGGTAAGCGATCTGATGTAAATATCGAAGTGTTGTTCCTAAGCAATTTTCACATTTCCTCATATGTGTTACCCTTGAAATATGTTGCTATAGAGTTCCTGTGGAACAGCGTACACCAGCAGGTGTTAAGAAGAACATTATGATTAAACTCCCAATGTTTCCCACTCATTCGAGAACACAACGGTCAACGATTGGTCTGAGAATAATGCAACCAAAGAAGATATCCTAAATAAAACCCAGCAGACCTGTAATCTGATAAATATGGGTTAAACACATTTTTACATGGCCTTTACAATCCCTTCCTTTGTTCTTCATCTTGTTTTTTATCTTCAATCTATTTATCCATGCCCATATTTAATGGGAAAAGTTTCTCAACAAAGCATTACCTTTGGAGGAACTCATGACGATGATGAATGTAGACGCTTCATTACAGAAGTCATTGAGTGAGTTTTGAATGGGTTCTATATACCTCCAAAACTTTTATTCACCAATACATTGATTCACATTGGAGCTATATGGTTTACAGGCTATATGCTAAATGCTGCAGGTTCAAAGGGAAAATAGATTGAATGAAACAATAAAGACGAAATGACGTCGTAAGGTACAGAGAATATAAAAAAAATAAAAGATGTCCTTAATAAAACCCAGCAGGCCTGTTAATGTGCTTACGCTGCTTCTCGGGGGGGCTATTGATTAATGATAATTGTTGCAGGTCAAAGGGTGCAGATTGGCTGATATGACAGGACAAGTGGGTGCTGGTAACGAAACCTGCATTACAATAGAACAATAGATGTTATTTATATACTAACTTTAATAAAGACATGTTTTGAAATGCCGGACTTCTTTCTGCACATTCACATGACTGGATCTGTTCCTTAACCAATGTGTCCTTAAAGCAGGCTGTTACACAGAGCAGCGCTCTGCTTATTGAAATAATAGAACCGAGGATGTTCAAATAGTTATTAGAGTGTACAGACAACCTAACCTTCATCAATAGTAACAGAAGAGAGTCCTTTTGGATTGATTCCTGTGAAGAAAGGAGAATGACTTTGTTCTGGATTGGAGGACAACAACTTTTATTTTAGTTGATTTGAATTGTTCCACCCTTAAGTACGGCAGGACTGCCTATATTGATTCTGTGTTGCTTCTATTATCACTCCATCTATAGTGCTGTTAGTCTGAGTGCTCTCCATCAAACAGGTATTTGGTGCTTTGGTCATGAGAACCCCCGAAAGCTGCTTTTCATCACATTTCAAAACAACTCCCATTCCTTGATAAGCACCTTGATCTCAATCAAAAAGCTTGACATTTCAACTTGTAAAAATGCCTAGTGGACTATGATGGGCCTTTAGTGGAAAACTACAAACTCCAGAAGAGTGGATGGAACACAAAGAGAGAGATAACTAAAAATAGCAAAAGAGAAGAGGGATCTTTCTGAAAGATCAGAAATAGGATAAAGATTAGGTCATAATTAATAGAGTTAATAGTTAATAGATTGCATTTTCAAATGAAGATCAATAAATTCAATCAATCAAGCGGATTGCACTGTATACTGTAGTTTGACTGTCACCACACACATTGATCTCACTGGGGAATTATTTGCCCCATTAAATATATCTGACGAAAATCGAAATAGATGTGATATATTTTGTATTGCATTTCCTGAATGTGTTTGGTTTGATTGAACCATTTCTGTTGAATATTTTAGATTTTTATTTGTACCCCCCTTTAATAAAAATAAGTCAAACCCACTTCAAAGTTTAAGGTGTTCCATAAAGTGTGTTCAATGTCATCTGACTCTCCAGATATGAATGAAAGGCAGAATAGTTTATTTTTAGTTGTTCACAATGCCTGAGATAATAAAGATCATTTTGGCAATGCAAATTGATATAAAACAATATGGGTTAGGTGAAAGAGTTTGACACATGTCCTTTAAATCTCTTCCTTCATTCTTGCATATTCTTCTATTATCTATTTTTTCATCTTTCCGTCCACTTATTCAATGGCGAACGTTTCCTTCAAAATATACAACAAAACATTCACTTTGGGAGGAACCCATGAAAGCTCGATTCATTATAAATCGTTGAATATGTTTTGAATAGGTTTTATATTCCTCCAAAGCTGCTTTTATTCACCCAAACATTGATTCACATTGGAACTCAAGGGTTTTACAGTAACTCACTACTGCTGGCTAAAAGGGAAGAGAGACTACATGTTAAAAAAAGAAAAAGGAAATAGTGAATGCAAGTGCAACTAAACAAAATAAAGGAGAATAAAATGTAATAATATAGTAAAGGAAAAGCCAGGCTAAAGCTAAAGAAAAGTTTTACAAACAGCAATAATATAAATCCATCCAATTTATTTTGTCTTTGTTAATCTGTGTGTGAGTGAAGGTGGGCGGCGAGGGGCCGCAGATAAAAGGACCGCGGTGGCACATAACCAGACGAGGACCCACAATACTACCTCAGGGATCTGTCACACGGACACACATAGACACACACACTCACACATAATCACACGCACACTACAAGGACAGAGACAGCAGAGCAAGCCTTTAATGAGAAGTCTGATGTTCTCTTATGTTCATATGCCTTGAGTCACAGCTTCATTTAGAGCTGTGTGTGCATACGTGTGTGTGGCTTTGAGAAGGAGAGAGATTATTTTATGGTTTATTCCCACAAGAGAGACATGCATGTAGTGGCCGGAGCCAATTGGACATGCCTGAAAGATTTCTTTGGGAGAGGAAAATGGGGGGAAAGTAAAGAGAGGAAGGAGGACGGCAGAAACAGAAAGGGTTATCTGCAGAGTGGGGGGGGGGAGCAGAAACCCTGTAATCCTGTTCAGTATGTATTCTCAGGGTGAAGAGAGGATGGGGTGGCCAGGGAGGAGGATACAGGAGGAGACCATTACTTTAAGAAATAATTATGAAACCATCCCTTCTTTGAAATAATAAAAACCCTTGTGCTCTCTCAGATGTGAGCAGACGTTAGAAGGCCCACAGTTCATAGTTCCTAACACAGCCATAAGACACTCTGGAATCCCCTGAAGGAAACAACGAGACACCTCATTCCACACAAAGAGAACCTGCATACACTAGAGATGATAATCCTTCCCAAAACGTTGGTTTTCCACTTTCAAAAGAGTGGATTAAAAAGAATAAAGGTTTACTCTTAAACAAAATGAGAGGACCATTTCTAATACATTAGACCCTACACCTCATTTCTTTGTACTAGTGTTTTCATCCTTTTCTTATCAAAACACTCCAAGTCCGGCCTTCAAAGTTGAACGCAAAACTACTGCGTAGAATTTGAATTATAGCATTACAGCCTATTTTACATTTCCAAAAGTTGCATATTAATTACTAGGGAGGAAGTGATTCAAAGGAAAATCCAAAGGAAAGGTTTTAGAAATATTGAAATTGGTACAGTGATAACTCAAATGGTGCATTATTTAACTGGAAATTAGAGGTCACATATTATGCAAATTCCAACAAGTTTCAGGAACAAAGATTCTCTCTCTTTTCGTCCTGATCCATTTCTATAAAAACCTGTCTGAAAATGAGCTGATCAGATTTTGGCCACTTTATGATGTCATAACGATGTTTTGTCTTGTATAACCATTAGCCAATCAGCAACCAAGGTAACCCCCCCCCCCCTTATCACCTGAATCTCCTCCTAGAGCACCATTGAGTTCTTTGTAACCAAATCTCTCTCAGAGGGGCGTGGGGAGGGGCTCCTTATTTTCATCTAAAGTAACAGACAGAGAATCAGCACTTTGGAAACAGGGCTGAAACAGAGGGGATTATGGGTAATGCTGCAATGATCTGTTTGGTGTTTCAGCCAATCAGAGACAGGCTCTGGATATATCTGAGACCTGGGATATATTGATGAGAAACAGTATCATAGGGGACCTTTAAAATCGTATTTGATTCAGTGCTTTTGTCTCCGTGTCCAAACAGACGCAGTGATGTCCGGCTCGGGACATTTCTCCTCCGTGACGTCTGTAGAAGTCGTCCCTTCCTCTTCTTCCTCAGACGTCCCCCTGCTGGCATCTGAGGAAGGTACGTCAATAACTTTGGGTTAATAACACACTGATTTAAGGTGTTGCATTGTTTTGTAAAGGTGTATTAATTGTTGTTCTGTTTCATGATCCAGAGTCGTCTGGACTGTCGTTCCAGCTCGCCTCTCTGGATGAAGTCGGGGTTTTAAACTTCTGGGTGAGTTGGGCAACACATTAGATTCCGTATATATTCGTATATAGGTTTTCAAACTGTGTGAGAGTTTAAGTGGGGATCCTGGTGAGGGGGAAAGGACCGTGCACATATGTTAGATTCAGCGTGACTTCCCGAGGATATCACTATCTCCTATTTTATGCAATTAAATCTACATGAAAATCATTAAATAGAAGATCTTCTGCAGAATCAAAGCCGTCCATTAATAGTTCTGTACACCCAGTTGTAAGAGGCAAACCGAAACATCTGATAGGTAATTTGTCATACTATTAATAGTGCCAATTTGTGGAAATGTAATTAAATACAGGCCAAAAATAAATAGATTTACTGAAACATTATCCTCTGTGTTTACATCTACTGAAACACCTGGAAAATGTAGTGTGAAAATCTGAATGAAATATAAATACATGCTAACTCAGCAGGTTAACAGTCTTGCCTTTACTGTATATCCAGATATTTAAATTGTTCTTAATGCCGTGATATAATCGCATGTTCCCCCTGTGTGTCCTAGGTGGTGCTGGAGCTCCCTAAAGCCAATGAGGCCGGCTCTCCCACAGATTTAGGTAAGGAGGTCAGGTATTAGAGCCCCCCCCCCCACACCTCCTCTTTTTCCTTTAAGAGACTCTTTGGACCAGTTCCAATCTGACCCATACAAACTTGTCTTTAAGGTGGTGCAAGAATCAGCCTCTCTCGGACAAATAATAATAATAACGATGCTATAAATCTCCAATTGAATGGACCCAAAACCAACTGATTTACTGATTCCTTTAGGAGGGTTTGATAACTTTCTGTAACTTTTCATAACAACAGTTTCAACTCACCATGTTTTGGACAAAAAATTATAAATAATAGGTCCAATAAAACTCAAAAAATCGTGAAAAAGTGGCGTTTATTTTTTGTAACCCTCTTTTCGTTTTAAAATCTGATGAGCTGCTTGGCTTTTGCGACAGTCACCAATATACAACATTTTACAGTCAAATGCACACATACCGTAGATGCAGGTTTATGATCCTAAGTATAACAAAAATCGTAACCAAGTTGTTAAATGTCTGTCTTCTTTGGTGCAGTTTACTAGTACATTTTTTTACCAAACTTCTTGTCGGAGGGTTTAATAATTCCAGCTTCTCAGTAGTTGGTTTGAAAAGCACTTGATCTCACGGACCCTCCACACAAACGCCCAAATGGCAAGGGATTAGGATGGTTAGGATGTAGGGGTCTGTTTGGAATTGGGCCATCGTTCTCCAACATGTTGTACCAGCTTCATCTCTCTCTCTCTCTCTCTCTCTCTCTCCTCCCTCTCTCTCCCTCCTCTCTCTCCCTCTCTCTCTCTCCCCCTCTCTCTCTCCCTCCTCTCTCTCTCTCTCTCTCTCTCTCTCTCCCTCTCTCTCTCCCTCCTCTCTCTCCCTCTCTCTCTCTCTCCCTCC